CTCTGCTGACAGCTTCAAATTCACTTTTTTACATAGCAAGTAAAGGCTAATTTGAAGTTTAGTGGCACTTTAACCTAGTGTTCTCTGATTTCTGTCCTATCTCTGGTCTGCTGAAGCTACTCTTGCTAAAGTTAATACTGAATTACTAATTTCCAATGGACTCTTTCCCCAGTGTGTAATCGTTTGATTTCTTCACGCTTTTTCACCATGATTGCCCTACTTCCTATCCCAAGATGTTGGTTATAGAAATTTTCTCTGGCTTCTCTGGTATTAGTCTCCCCTAGTTATTTTCCTCTTCTACTGACCCCAAAATACTGTTTCCAAGATGTATTCTTAATTTTGGATTTCCTGGAGGATTTCATCACTTCTTTGCCTTGATTGCCATCTAAGCCTAGATGATAAATACCATTTCTATTACTATCTCTCACCCTGAGCTCAACACTGAATTGTCTATGTTTTACTTAACTTAGCCTTGAACAATCTCATCATCTTCCTTCACAAACCTAGTTCACCTCTTATATTCTTAGAATCAGTTAATGGCATTGTCACCTTCTCTCTTTGGTCACCAGGCCCTGTAATTCTAGCTCAGGAATAAATGTGCCGCCAAATTTAACAGGCCTTCTTACTATTCCCTCTCTCAGTAAAACTCTACATTACTCCCAGAATGATTTGCCTAAAGCTGATCATAGCACTTAAAACACAAAAATTTTATTGAAGTAACATTGAAGTACAACACATAGGCTACAGGTTTGCATCATTATAAATCAACACCTGTAGGGGCCTCCCTGGTGGCCCAAGGGTTAAAGTCTCAGCACTATCAAGCTATCGCCAGCCACTGAGGCATGAGGCATGAGTTCAGTCTCCAGCCTGGGAGCTCTCCATATGGCGCAGCAGACCTCTCCTGTGTTTCCTGCTGCTGCCCTCAGCAGTGTGTTTCAGTCAATCTACCTATTCTGCTCCCTGCTCTGTTTCTGGTGAATCCTCTCATTCCCCACACCTCTGGCCTACACCCCAGTTCTTATATGCATAATAAATAAAAATAAATCTTAAAAAAAATTTAAAAAATTAAAAAATAATCACCTGTATATAATCAACACCTGTATATATTACATTATGTTCGCCACTAAAGGTCTAATTCTCTCCTTCACCATACAATTGACTCCATTTACACAATTTGCCCACCCCTCTTCATTCTTCCCTTCTGGTAACCACTCAGTCTTAATAGTCTAAAAGGTTTTTTTGTTTTATTTAGTTCATTTTTAAATTTTCTTTATGTGCCACATATAAGTGAAGTCATGTGATGTTTGTCTTTCTTTGTCTTATAACATTCTTATACAACAAAAATTCTACCCTTTCTCAAAAGGGCATACTAGGCCTTTCGCTATCTGGCCCTGTTGTGGGTTCCTTTTACTCTTTTAGTTATATTTATTTATTTATTTTCTTTTTTTTTATTTGTGGGTTTTTTTTTAAATTTTTATATTCCCCATACAATTGCAACCCCCTTATTCTGACCCCAATCTCTCCTTTCCTCACCCCCTCTACTCTTTTAATTTTAAAGGCAGATACGGATAACACCTCTGCTCTTTTTTTTTTAATTTTTTTTTTAATAGAGGCATGTTTTATTTATTTATTCATTTATTTGTTTGTTTGTTTTTGTTTATACTGGGTACAGTCAGAAGCGCGGGAGGGTGAGAGAATTCACCAGAGCCAGAGAAGGGAGCAGAACAGGCAGAAGGACCGAAGTACACTGCTGAGGGGAGCAGCGGGCGGCAGGAGAGGTCTGAGGGCCATGTGGGACCCTCCTCCAGTGGCCGAGGAGCAGCCAGGGATCGAACCGGCGCTGCAGAGGCTACGGGCAGTTTCGCAACCCAGCGCTCAACCGCTGCGCCACCGGGGAGGCCCAACACCTCTGCTCTTAAGGAAATTCTTCACAAATTCAACTTTCAGTTTTCTCATTGTAATATAAGAACAGCAATAATTCCTAATGTAACAGGCAGGTTTGCAGGGTCTGGGGTGCCCCTCTTCCTGCCCTGTAACACTAATACTTAGCTTAAACAGTAAACACATGTCAAAATAAAGAAAATACCTGACAGTCAATAAATGCTGATGAACGTTAGCCATTATTATTTTCTATGAAGAACTACAAATACCTTCTTTCCTTCCCACGGTTTTAGTAAGAGAGACAGGTGAACAGATTTATGTTTTAATGCAATAACTATAAAATAGAGATATGAATAAGGTATGAGTACAGATGATAACGCAACTAATTACTCCTGGGAAGAATGAGCAAGACTTGCTGAGGAAACATTTGAGGACCAGAGAATGACTAGGAGTTTGCTATACGAAGAGCAGGAAAGTACCATTCCCCGACAGATGGACATGGTTGTGTTGTAAAAACACGTGTTTAAGGGAGAATTTATTGCATGATCATAGAGTCTGGTTGAGAAAAAGAAGCACTTCCAACTGTAGGTGATGTGGACTCATGATCTAAACTTAGTTTCTGAATGTATTTATTTTTAAATATTTATTTATGCATGTAAGAACTGGGGTACAGGCCAGAGGTGTGTGTGTGGGGGGTGAGAGGGTTCACCAGAGACAGAGTGGGGAACAGAACAGGCAGATCGACTGAAATATCTGCTGAGGGGAGCATCGGGCAAGTCAGGGGAGGCCTGCTGTGCCCTGTGGGTGGCTCCCTGGTGGGGGAGGAATTCATGCTGCAGTGGTTGCGGATTGCTTCATAGGTTGCGTCTTAACCCCTTGGGCCAGGAGGCCCAGTTTCTGAATGTATTTAAATTTTAGCCTTTAGATCAGTAGTTTCTGAACAAAATAATAGTACAGAGGGAGCTTTAAAAAAAGACACAAGACTTCACCTTCAGAAGGGTGGGGTCCAGAGTTGAGATTACTGTTGAAAAAACCGCAGGGGGTAAATTGCTGCTAAATCAAGGTTTGAAGCCTGATTCCATGGGGGAAGGGTGAGCACAAATCTTTTGAAAGCTAGAACCTCCTTCAGGTCTTTGCTTAGCATTAAAAAAAACAAACTTTCAGGTCTCTCTGGTGGCACAGGGATTAAGTCTCACACTATCAAGCTATCACTAGCCACTGTGGCCTGAGGAGCTAACCCACTTGGCGCAGTTACCTCCTGTCTCACCTGCTGCTCCCCTCAGCAGTGTTCTTCAGTAGATCTGCCTGTGCTGCTCCCCTCTCTGTTGAATCCTCTCATCCCACCCCACCCCTGTGTTACCGAACGCCGGCCTCAGTTTCCCTCAGCCAATAAAAGGAAACTGAGTTTGAGGAAAAGGAAAGCGGTTTTATTTGTCGACAAATGAGGAGGGCGGCAGACTCACGTCCGAAAAACCACCGTCCTGCTCTTTGGCAGTGGGCAGGGGTATTTATACAGGGGGAGTTGGGTAGGGGTCCACGAAGGGGAGGGGGAGCTGCAACAAATGGGGAAGACAAGCCATCAATCCTGTCAGTGCTAAATAAGGGGAATCACAAGGAATGGGGTAAAGACAAACTTGTTAACTGTATCACAGAGACAAGTGGGCGCCAGCTCAACAGGGAGATGGATGGGTGTCAGCTCATTCATCTTAAGGGAAGGGGAAGGTGTCAAGGCACAGAGACAGGTGATCGCCAGTTTGTTTTCCTTAGGACGAGGGGGAAGGGTCTGCAGGGAAACCGGTGGGCGCCAGCTTGTTTTTCTTCCCAAGGGGAGGGGAAGCTGCAACAAATGGGAAAGACAAGCCATCAATCCTGTCAATGCTAGATAAGGGGAATTGCAAGGAATGGGGGAAAGACAAAGTTGTTAACTGTATCACCTGCACCTCTGGCCTACATCCCACTTCTTGTACGCAAAAATAAAAAAAAAAAATCTTAAAAAATAAAAAATTAATAAAAAATGTGCATGTTGTATTAAAAAAAAAACTTTTTCAACCCCTCATCATTATTTTTTCCTAAACACTCAAGTTTTATTTGGAGGATTTCATTCCTCTACACCTGTATCCACATCCGTCTACTTAACCAATCCTTGATTAAAAATAGACTGTACTATGTAGTTTGGCCTAGGATGATTGTCCTGAACGTGTACAAACTTTGTCCTTATCATTATTTCCTAAATGGTACCATAAGACAACTATTTACATAGCTCACTAAGTATTAAAAACAATACGGAGAGGACCGAAAGTATAGCTAGTGGCTGTGCGCATGTTTTATGAAAATATTGCTCTATTTTATATGTGAATTGAGCATGGGGGGATTTTGACAACCGAGAGGCTTCTGAAATCAGTCCCCAGTGCATGCCAAAGAACAACTGTACTTACTATAAGCTTATTTACTATAGTTTCTGCAGCCACTCGTTGGAATATGAGCTTAACGACGGCAGTGGTCTTTTTCTTTGCTAGTGAACTTCAGATCTTAGAAGCACGTGGCAGGTTATATAAATACATTTTTGCATGACTCAATCAAGGAATGGGCAAACTGGGAAAAAAATTGGCTAGAAGAGAGCATTAATAAGTTTGAGGAGAATAAACCTGCATTTGATGCTTGCAGTTTAAGAAGGAAAAAAGAGACAGTGGGCTGCGAAGGGAGCAGATTAAAAAAAACAACAACAAACACCGGCCTCGAGAGGAAGACCAGTTGTTCTTTGTTTTCAAGTTTCTTTCTGATTTCACTCTCCTGCTTCCGGGTACGAATTCAAAACCCGCCAGACCATCCCAGCAGCTGGCCAGCTTTAACCAAGCTTCCACCCCGGCTGCAGGCCACGCAGGTGACAACACCCGGAGAACTTAAATCCTTTAAACAGAGGTTTCTCCAGGGTCGGCCGCGATTTAGGTTCAAGCATGCGCAGTAGAGAGACTCCAGCGTGCGCGGGAAGCTGCGCCGCGCCCGCTTATGATTGGCTGCTGAGGTGAAGTCCCACCTACCGAAGCGCAGGGCTGGCTGCTGATTGGCTGTCGCGGTGGCGGCCCCGCCGGGGGAGAGGGAGGGGAGGCGGGAAACAGCCCGGCGGGCGCGGGTCGTGCAGTTCTCCGGGTCGGGCCGCGGGGAGGCTCCGAAATGGCGGTCCAGCCGAAGGACACGCTGCAGCTGGAGAGCGCGACCGAGGCCGGCTTCGTGCGCTTCTTCCAGGGCATGCCGGAGAAGCCGGCCACGACAGTGCGCCTCTTTGACCGGGGCGACTTCTACACGGCGCACGGCGAGGACGCGCTGCTGGCCGCGCGGGAGGTGTTCAAGACCCAGGGGTGGTCAAGTACCTGGGCCCCGCAGGTGAGGCGGGCGCCGCTCGGGAAGGGGGCGGGGGACATTGGGGCCTCGTGGGAAGAGGCTTGCTCAGGCCCCCGCCGGGCAAGTGGGGTACCTGCTGCCTCAGGCCGCTCGGTCCTGTGCTGCCTCCGCCCCGAGTGTGTCCCCCCACCCCCCGGCCGCCCCTCTAGTCAGCTGCCAACGAGCACGTAGGGAGAAGTGTTCACCGTCTGCCAGGCGTTTTCATACGTTTTTCTGTTTAATTTTCCATCCGTCGCGTGGGTCTCTCGCCCTGGCCCTTTGGATCGCATCAGAAACGTCGCCCAACATCTTTAAGGACAAACGCCAGGCCGGGAGTGAGGTTCAGCATGAAAGGGGGAGACCATTTTATGTCACCAGCGTCGTTTTGCCCACACTTCATTTATACTGCTGAGCTGCACGGCGCCTGTGATATGTGCAAAGGCAGTAGGGCGAGTGCTCAGGACCTGGGACTTCAGCCAGGTTGCATGGAATCATGTCCTGGCTGTTGCACTTGCTAGGTGTGTTACCTTGGGCTGGTCCTGTGAGCTGTCTGTTGCAGCTCAGAATTCAGTCCCTTCTCTCCACCGTCATCTCTTTTCACCCTGGATGGAATTGTTTAACTTGTGATCTCTTTTCCCTCTTGGCTACATTGTGATCATGATAAGAGAAACATGATAGGAGAATCGTAGGGGGAATAAGGAGTTGTGGGGTCTAGGAGTTTGCTGGGGAGAAAGCCTGAATGTTGGTATTTTAATTGGAGCAGAAAATGAGTGAGGAGAATGGTCCAGGTGAGTGGGATGGGATAATGGAAGCTTTTATACTGTGCTGAGATGTTGATATTTTATATTGCAGGCAAGGAGAGGTCTAAACACAAGTACAGTTCTGGGTGGAATGTTGGAGTACTTTGGCTGTAGTGTGGAGGATGGGTTAGAAGGTAAAGGTATTGGGGATCAGTTAAGACCAGGCAGAGATACTCATTGTTTTCATAGTTAGTAATGGTCAAAGTTTTCCAGTTTTACAGGAATTATGACCCTGATTATTCAAGGCTGGTGCACTTAATTCCTTATATCCTTGTATTATGCATTTTATAAAAATTTAAGCATTTACTTAATTTAAAGCGTTTGAAATGATGTAAAAAGTTCTGAACATTCTTGGTTATTGGTAAATTGGATCATTGGTTTTTCTAAGTACCTGTTCTAACACTTGTTTTTCTGTTTAAATTGTGAAAGGAATACTGGATGCTAAGCATTACATCTTTTTATTGGGAAGGAAATTTAATATGGACAACCAGGAATCTTATATTTGGAGTGTAGATTTTTGGAGGAAGTAGAAGGGGTGTAGATTTAAAAATATACACACACACACTGTTTTCCCTTTTGTTGCCTTTGAGGGTCAAAATATGAGTATTTACCAAGGAAATTTCTAAGAATAATCGATAGTCACTCCATCTTAATTATAATTGAGAATGTGTTTAAAGGTGAATTTAACTTTGCAGAGATTGGCAGTTAAATGTGAATTCTTTCCAAGTATCAATTTTTTACCTAAGACATTTATACCAAAGGCATAATACTTTACTTTTTTAAAAAGACTGTCCTAATTTTTTTTTAGATAGTATAATAATGTCCCCAATACCTCTACCTTCTAACCCATCCTCCACACTACAGCCAAAGTACTCCAACATACCACCCAGAACTGTACTTGTGTTTATACTAATCATTGCCTACAGTATAAAATATCAACATCTCAGCACAGTATAAAAGCTTCCATCATCCCATCCCACCCACCTGGACCATTCTCCTCACTCATTCTCTTATTTTTTTAGCTAGTATAATTAAAAGATGGGTAATACTTAACCCCTTGTGCCACCAGGGAGGCCTCAAAAGTTGGGTAATTTGTTATTAAAAATTGCTGAAATGACTAGAAACATCTAAAAAAGGAAGGGGCTCAAAGCCACAAATATACCACAGTTTCCCAGGACTGGTTTCTTCCAGCTTTCACTGTCCAAAGGGAATTGTAACCAAGGATTTAACAATGTGATTTGTAAATCAAAATAAGGTGAGACTCTTTTCCACTAAGGTGGGTTTTCAGTGTCAGCACTATAGACATTTTGAGCGGAATGACCATTGTGAAGGACTGGCCTGTAAGTGCTTAACATATCCCTGTCAGTTGTGACAACCCAGATATCTGCTCAGGGAGGAGCAAAGTCTCTCTCAGTTAAGAGTCGTGATATAAGATGAAGACCTGAAAATTTGAGAACTTTGTTGACTGGATAGGGGAAATACACTCATACTGTATGGGTGGTAGTGTTAGGTGGCACAGCCAACCAGGTGGTCAATCTGGCAATATTTATTAAAATCATAAAACCCTTTGATGAAGTCATTTTAGGATTTTACAGATATTCTCATCTTTGGAGAATGAATCATGTACAGGGTTCTTTATGCAACATTGTTTTAATGGCAAAGACTGGAACCACTAGGATGAACCACTAGGTACATCAACAAGAACCTAAATTATAGAACATAGAGTCATTGGAATGTTTGTACCTATTAACAGGAAGAAACTGATTAATTACTGATGGAAGTCTCCAAAATATATTAAAACCTAGTAAGATGAAGCATATATACAACTATTCATTAAAAGCAAAAAGTAATGCTTTTTATTGTGTGTGCATAGACTATGTTTGGGAATATATTCCCTTTTGGAAAAAAATTAATTCCATATAAACACTATGTAGTTATTAAGACTTTTAATTTAAACCTGTGAAAAATAAATATAAGAAAGTAAGATTACCTATGTATATGTTTACTCTTTTATCTGTCTCCTCTCAAGATTTTTTTTGTTTTAATGTGTTAACCCCACAGGAGCAGGAGGCTGTCTCTTCACCATTTTTTGCCCTTTATTTACAAAAGTTCCCAGGACATATAATAGGTACTTGCTAAACAGTTAATTGAATGAATGAATGAATTACTGAGAGAACAATGTTCCTTGTGGAATTAGGTATTTTTTAAATACCTTTTTTTAAATCCTCAAATCTGTAACATGTATTTTTAATATTTTTCTTTAGGAGCAAAGACTCTGGAGAGTGTTGTGCTTAGTAAAATGAATTTTGAATCTTTTGTAAAAGATCTTCTTCTAGTTCGTCAGTATAGAGTTGAAGTTTATAAAAATAAAGCTGGAAATAAGGCCTCCAAAGAGAATGATTGGTATTTGGCATTTAAGGTAATCATATTTTTTAAATTTAGTTATTTTTTAAGAGTTAAAGTGAGATAATTCTGTGTGTGTGTGTTTTTAAATTTTAAAATGCTTTGAGACTTTAATGTTCTTTAACATGTGGTTTTTAAAATTAGTTTAATAGCAATTCAGAAATTATATAATGAGTATGAGTACTCTGAACATTGTCACTGTCCCTGAAACACAAATAGCCTTTATATAAGATTGAATACCAGCATTAAACAAGGACAAATTTATAATGTCCCCCCAAGTCCCTTTCATACACATTTGTCCTTTGTATGTGCCATTCTGTCCCACTAGCTTGTACTTTTTATAAGTCTATATCTTTGTTTAATGCTCATTTTTTTCCTTGGTATAGCTAGAAAGGCTCATTGACATGCATGTGTCTGAGGCCTTCAAGAACATAGTAGTGCTATTTTTTAAAAATGTATTTAATGACTGTCTTCCTTACTACTCTATAAAGTCGTGTTTTTATTTATTTACACAACACTTTTACAGGATAGGTTCTAAATAAATACTAGAATAAACGAATAGTTAAAATGTTGGGATGATGAGATTTATTATTAAAGGGAGCAAATGTGAGATAAGGGGGACAGTGCTTTGGACTTGTAGTCAGCATATTGCATTTCTTTTCTCCTCTTCTCTGGGTGAAGCTTGGCAAATTTTCCAATCTTCTGTATATGTTTCTTCATAACCAGTAAAATTAGAAAATTAAGACGCTTTCTGTCTTGAAAGTCCTGTAAGTTTTTTTCTTGTGAGATTGAATAGAATATAATATTTAAACGTTTGATGTTGGTGCAGCTTGAGATATAATACTGTTCAATCTTTACTCCATTTTGCTCCCAGCCCCCGTAAATATAGACATTTACTAAAGATTATATTTGGGAGAATTTAGCATTCTACATTATAGAGTTTCCTAGGAATTTTTATTTTCCTACTATACTGAGAAAAGTAGAATTTTACTTAGAGTTTTAGCCTTTGTCCTGGAAGATTATAATTGAAAATTGTTCACAAAGTGATGTTAATTTTCCACAAAAATCAATTAGTAACAACAGCAACATGTGCAATCATAAGTTTAATGAATACATGCTTGTCATCCTATCATCTATTCCATCATGTCTTTCAACTCTATCTTTTAGGCAGTTACAGTGCTTATGCTTGTGATTGAATCAGCGCTGTTTTTACTTGACTATCAGATAACACATTTTTCGTTTTAGGTCTAGATTTTAGTTTAGATCTAGATTTAGTCTAGATTTTATTCATAGTTACAAGGGATTCAGAACCATATCAGGAAAAGAAATGATAATCATAATCATGGCATTAGTGGCTATTAGTTGCTTAAATTTGGCTGTCACTATACTCTTTTGGCCCATTTGTTACTGTCTTATGTTTCATACCCTGGTCCACCATTTGCCCCAGAAGTCCCTCATATTAGCAGCAATTTACCAGCTTCTGATCAGGTTGAAGTCTATAGAATTGTCACCCACTAACTTGACATAAGTTCATCAAAAGTGAACTTGTCCTTTTAGTTAGCTTACATAGCCTTAGAAATTTCCAGCTTTTTTGAAATATGACAATAGTTCACAGACCCTTTATTTGGTAATTGCTGATCTAGAACAATCACTGCATTTTACAAATAAATATATTGATATGGAGATGACTTTTCAAGGTCCATGTATAAGCTTGATAGTACTGTTCTGCTATGTGGGATAGTAACTCAGTAAAAATACTGATAGGTGCAACCAATAGGTAGACAGCAGAATGTAGAGATTTAAGCATAGCATGAAAGGGATTATCACTGTAGGCATCTTGTTGATTGTGTGTGTGTAAACCCAACTGCAAATTCCAAACTAGCAATCACTTTTGATAAAATTTTTTATAGCTGTGCCCAAGTGTTCTGAAGATATTTGGAGATATAGGGAGTATACTTTGTAGAAAATGTGGTAATAATCTTTGGAATATATGGTTAAAAGCAGTTTTTGGTAAGAAAACATTTTCTTAATTCATTAGGGTTGGATAATTAGTGCTGGCTAGTAAATTTTAAAGTATGTTAAATAATTTTTTAACTTTTTATTTTTTCTTAGGCCTCGCCAGGTAATCTTTCTCAGTTTGAAGACATTCTCTTTGGTAACAATGATACATCAGCATCCATTGGTGTTGTGGGTGTTAAAATGTCTACGGTTGACGGCCAAAGACAGGTTGGAGTTGGGTATGTTGACTCCACACAGAGGAAGTTAGGACTATGTGAGTTCCCTGATAATGACCAGTTCTCCAATCTGGAGGCTCTGCTGATTCAGATTGGACCAAAGGAATGTGTTTTACCAGGAGGAGAGACTTCAGGAGACATGGGAAAACTGAGGCAGGTAAGGGAATCAAGTCTGGTGATAGAGGTGAATCTAAACCTAGGAAAGACTTAACTTGCCAGGGCTTTGGTTAAGGAGCAAAAATAACTAAAATATCAATATTTGTTATATCTAATTACAGTAATACTTTTTTGGAGGACTGCCTTATCTTTGACAGAAATTTTGTATCTTTAATAGAATTCAGAACAAACTTTTGTATTCTGCCTCTTATCTTCCTTCCCTCCCTCTCTTCCTCCTTTGCAAAGAGTTGTAGAATGTCAACCTCAAAGTGATCCTAATTGGAAAGAAAGGGGCCTCCCCTGGTGGCCCAGTGGTTGAGCGCTGGGCTGCAAAGCTGCCTGCAGCCTCTGCAGGTTTAATCCCCGGCCACTGGGTGAGGATCCCACATGGTGCGTAGACCTCTCCTGCCGCGCCTGTTGCTCCCCTCAGCAGTGTACTTCATCAGTCTGCCTGTTCTGTTCCCCGCTCTGGCTCTGGTGAATTCTCTCACCCTCGCGCACTTCTGACTGTACCCAGTGCTTGTATAAATAAATAAATAAATCTTTAATAAAATGGGGGGAGGGAAAAAAGCAAGCATGCTTTCACAGTTCAGGGAGAAAAGGAGATGACTTAGGGTCATTAAAACCACCTATTCATGGAGTCTTTGCTCCCAAGATGACCAAGAAAAGAAGGAATACCGTTTGAGCTAAAAAGGGCTTTAGCCATTTGCAGCTTGTTGGCTGCACCAGTGGCACTCACTGCCTGCCCAAGCGCAAGGCCATTAAGGAGGTCATCATTCTCTAGTGGAGGCCGCAGTCATGGGGACATATTCAAAGCAAGCATCTCTGATGCCTTCCCAAGCCTTGTGTGAAATTGCTTACTTCGTGAACTATGCCATTTACAACCAGGTAGCCAGGAATCGTTCTCATGAAGCTGGGAGGGATTGGTCCTTCTGATCCTCCAGTCTAATTTAGACCTGTGGGTGCTGCGCTATTATCTCTACCAAAGCTCATGTAAAGAAGCTAAGTCCTTCAGGATTGAAGAAAAACGGTCCCGTATATAAATATACGGGAATTTATACTTAAAAAAAAAAATACTGTATTTAACATGGATTTATCAAATAAATTTTTCAGAATTATTTTTTGGTAGTTCAAGTTGAACGTTAGCCTCTTATTTCACTGATTTAACAAAATTTTGTTTGTGCCATTTATATAAGTATTGTGGTTCATTATTTATATACTCCCCGAGGATTCTTTTTTGTGGACCTCAAATACCTGAGAACTACTTGAGAGATAGGAAATCTACGATGGGTCTTTTTAGCATAGGTGGTTTATAAGCAACGTTCCACCAATATTTTTCTGTTAAGTTTTTACTATTGTGACCTTTTTAAAACTTTATGTGAACATAATTTTAGATCTACATGAAAATTATAGATTTAAAAATGTGCTAAGGTGGCCTAGGGGTTAAGTCTCATCTTCTCTGGCCTGAGTTAGATCCCTGGCCAGGGAGCTGACCCACATATGGCACAGCAGACCTCTCCTGTCTCGCCCGCTGCTCCCCTTAGCAGTGTATTTCAGTAAACTTGCCTGCTCTGCTCCCCATTCTGTCTCTGGTGAATCCTTTCAAAGCCTACCCCCGCACCTCTGGCCTACAGCCCAGTTCTATGTATAAATAAACCTTTAAAAAAAAAAAATCAAAAAATGTGTTAATACATAATGTCACCAATTTCTTGCGCCTTGTATGAACATTTAATGTAGGTTTATAATTTGTTAAGGTGTTGTAGTTTTATATATAAATATTTTTCTTTTCTTATTGGTGTTCTAATAATAATCTAAAGTATTTCCTATAAAAATAGGTTATCCAGAGAGGAGGAATTCTGATCACAGAAAGAAAAAGAGCTGACTTTTCCACAAAAGATATTTATCAGGATCTCAACAGGTTGTTGAAAGGCAAAAAAGGAGAAGAGGTGAACAGTGCTGTCTTGCCAGAAATGGAGAATCAGGTATGTGGATTACAAATGTGACCTTATTCTTAAATTATAGTGGCTTTTTGATTACTTCTGTCACATGTATCTCAGAACTAAATTGTGAGTCGCTGAGCTTATTTTATCGATGATAAAACTTGTGAAAAACTTGAGGAAATGACTAGAAAATTCAAACTTAACATTAAATATAAATTTATTATATTTATATTATGGCTATCCCTAGGGCAAAAAAGAGTATTGTTGATTTTGTGTGAAAGAGCCTGATTTCTATCACTTAAGTAGATGTGACAGCATAGTGACTCTACTGGAAAAAATCCTAACAGAGCTTTATAATGCGCAAACTATGGGGTCTTCAATAAATTATTTCAACTTCCTGAGAAACATTTTCATCATCTGTTAAATAAGGTTAAAAAAAACCTGTTTTGGATTGTTGTGGAGATTAGGAAGTAGTAAGCATGAAAGTATACATAGCATATAATAATTGCATAATAAATATTATATTTAAACAGTGACTCATAATTGGTACTGGTCTTGTGTGTTCAGTGGTAGAAACTGAGTATGTAAATACGGAATTTATTCATATCTGTGAGGTAGAAGTGACTGGAGAATTATTTTATGATAAAATATTGGAAACATTGACAAGGGTGTATGTGGGTTACTGATAAATGATATATTTAAATAAGGATAAACTTTAGAACTTAATTTATAACATTTTCAAGATAGATTTTGAATTAAAATAAACTGAGACAGTAGTTACTATGATGATTTTGCAATGATTATTTATCATATTAATAACTCAGTCCTTTTAAAGTAAGTTTGCCTGTTTTACTTTTCATGTGTGTGACAAAGTTCATAACTCATGTGCCCTGGCAACCTAGTTCCCATGAGGGTGTGGATAGGCTTCCCCACACTGACAAGCAATATTTAATTTTTTGTAAAAGATCTAGTTTGTCAGTATAGAGTTGAAGTTTCTAAGAATAGAGTGGGACATAAGGCCTCCAAGGAGAATGATTGGTATTTGGCATTTAAGGCAATTATCTTCCTTTTTTAATTTAGTTATTGTTAAGAATAAAGAAAAAATAGAGCAAATTATATGTGTATACTTTGACCATTTTAACCACATTGTAATGGTAAAATGCTTTGAGCATTTAATGCTCCTTAGCATGTGGTTTTAAAAATAACAGTTTAATAGCAATCTGGAAATTATAAAATGAGTATGAATGCTCTGAGCTTTGTCACTGTCCCTAAAACATAAATAACAGATAGGCTTTATAAAGGTCGAATACGAACATCAAACAAGAAACATGGATTTGATTTTATTGTCAGAATTGAGTTGAATTCTCAGATACCTGACTGGCTACTGTAAATAGTACTGCTGTGACTGAATTTTCACAGAATATTTTTTACTAGTCGTGAGAAAATTATTTAAACTTCATCTGTTTTCTTGGGTTTGATTGGGGAGGAACATTAAGGAAAATGATATTGTTTGTAATTTTTCATTTTGCCATTTGTTTTTTTTAGTTCTAGTTAGATTGCAATCTCTTTAAAATTTTTAACTTCAGGTGCAGTTTCATCATTGTCTGCAGTAATCAAGTTTTTAGACATCTTATCAGATGACTCAAATTTGGACAGTTTGAACTGACTACGTTTGACTTTGGCCAGTACATGAGATTGGATATTGCAGCAGTCAGAGCTCTTAATCTTTTCCAGGTAAAAAAAAAAAAAAAAAAAATTGGGTTAAAAACAATGGTTAAAAGGGCCTCCTTTGTGGCCTAGGGGTTAAATCTCAGCACTGTTTCCACCATGGCTTGAGTTCTATCCCCAGCCAAGGAGCTAACCCCCATGTGATGCAGCAGACCTCTCCTGTTTCACCTGGTGCTCCCCTCGGCAGTGTATTTCAGTAAATCTGCCTGTTCTGCTCTC